TAGCATTTGTGAGCCCCGAGCAGCACGCGAGCAACACGGGAGGAGATGCGCACACACTCACGCGACCGTGTCCGTGAACGAAAGGTAGTTCGGCCAGCTTGGAACATTAGACAAGCGCGAACGTATCACCTATTGTCTTTTTTTCGCTGGATCTACGGGCAGTATGTTCAGTTGGCACAGCGTCTTTCGTATTAGTTTGTACGTATTTAATTGAGATTCACAAGTGTAAGAAACTCGTGTAAGAACAGAGTGTAAGACACTTAATAATATCAGCCTATTTCTTAGCTATTCGTGCTATTACTTTCAGCTTACAAAAATGTATCTCGCAGCAAATGCATTTTAGCTGTTGCAATTAACTCTTAGCAGTGACGATAAAGTTCTGACTACCCACCGAAATTTAGCTGTTCTCACTAAGTCCTTTTTCTGCGTATGGCGCTAAAGTAACTTTCAACATCTATAACTCAAAAAGTACTTAGTACAAAAATGCTTACTTGTAGTAATTTGAAAAGGTCTCGACCTAAGCTACAAGAATATGCAATTAAAACGAGGGAGTCTCATTTCAGATTTTTATGCTGACCTTGATAAAGCTTCTCAAGGTCATTACAAGGTTTAAAAAATATCAGCATCATTTGTGGTTTTTAATTTCCTATAACTTTTATATGAAATATTTTTCTCAAAAATATATATTTTATAAACAATTTATGGAAGTCTATAGAATTGATGGTTTTGATCCACTTTATCATATGCAGAATAAAAAGTTGCAAAAGGTCGCAGCTGAAACCTGTAAAAATTGTTAATATATAGAAGGTTTTTTAATACCCTGTATGGTAGATCTTGTACATATTTGAACTTTTTTTTTAATCACTCAATTAATAAAAATGAGTTACAATTTCGTTTGGCTAATAGTAGAAAAAACGATGTAAACAATAATAAAATCTGGCAATACAGATACTCATAACACAAAAGATACAATAACACATTACAGGTGTAAATCCGACCAGGCAATCTCCACGCGGTACACCTTAGGTAGTGCTAATACTGACGATATAGCAACTTTCAACCTTTACAACTTGAAAAGTACTTTATGAAAAAATACTTAATTATAGTGTTTTGAAAAGGTCTGAAAGTAAGCTACAAGAATATGCAATTAAAACGAGGGAATCTCATTTCAGATTTTTATGCTGACCTTGATAACGCTTTTCAAGGTCATCACAAGGTTAAAAAATATCAGCATCATTTGTGGTTCTTAATTTACTATAACTTTTATATGAAACATTTTTTCCAAAAACGCATATTTTAGATACAATTCATCGATGTCCACAGAATTGGTGGTTTCGTCCCACTGTGCGGCGGCTCCCTGGACGTTGGCAGCGGCGGCGGTGATGGTGGCGGTCCTCCTGCGGGTGCCCACTTCTCGCGTCCTCTCTCTCTCTCTCTCTCTCTCTCTCTCTCTCTCTCTCTC